CCTTGCATAATGACTCATCCCCTGCCCTGCTGCAGCCAACAGCCAGTGGAGGTCACTCACAGCCCACTGCCCAGCATAGCAACCAGCAAAGTACCCCCCACTACATCACACAAGGAAACATGGGGAACTTATCTTGTACTCAAATACCATCACTGATTTGAAAAAGCCCAGGCCAACCTTACACTTTCTTCAGCATCAGGAGTGAGCTTCTCAATTAATGGTCTGGAAATGTGCTGTGTGTGTCAACTACTAAAGTTTACTATACAAGAGAGCAAAAAGTAATTTTCCCAGGGTGACAAATTTGAATCCCTAATAAGGTAAATCCTGAACAATCCCTAACTGAAAAGGAGATATGTAGCACTTTAAAGACTAACAAAAGAGTTTATTAGGTGATGAGCTTTCATGGGGCAGACCCACTTCTCAGATCATATTCTGAAAGTGAATAGGCATGACCATGTTATAACAGAGGATACAATGAAAGAAGGTAAAAAAAATTACTACAAACTAACAAATCAGGTACATAGAACAGAAAGTGGGAAGGAGGGGAAGGGGAAGTGACAAGGAAGGAGGAAATTGCTTACTGAAAGAGCCAATTAAGTGGCTAATCTGGGGGTTACTAGTTTGCAATTATTTTATTACCTTCTTTCATTGCAGCCTTCTGTTATAAAATGGTCATGCCTATTCACTTCCAGAATATGATCTGAAGAAGCAGGTCTGCCCCACGAAAGCTCATCACCTAATAAACTATTTTGTTAGTCTTTAAAGTGCTACATATCTCCTTTTCATGTGTATGGATTTGGTTAGTTTGTACTGAGCAAAACCAATGCTGCTTTCCTTAAAGGAGTTTCTAAAGAGGAATAAAGAAACCAAAATGATAATTCAAGTAAGAGGCCTGATGCAAGGTGCAAATTTGCTGCCTATATCAGTGCTTAAATACATAGTCACAGTCATTGTGTTAAACTACACACTTAAGTGACTTTTATACAAGTGAACAAAAGTTAGAGACTAATCCCTACTCCAAGCAGAAAAATCTGTTACAATCTAAAAAATGCCAGATTAAATATAATAATCCAGACAATCCACATGCCAGGGATGAAGTTTTGCTTAAGGCAGTATTGAAAATTGTGTTGACAGCTCCTTTTGAGCATGCTCAGGAAGTCCCTTCCCAACCCCTTTCATGAAGAAAACGACTTCTTCAGGTGATTACATGTCTATGAACAGTGCAGGAAGTATTTAAAAGGGGCTATAAACCTAATCTCATGGAGGTCCCGTTTCTGTATACAGTGTTGTTATAGCTTTTCTGTTAGCCAGAAAATACAAGGAAAGCTGCCATGTAACATTAGAATTAACCTTTCCCATACACGGAATGGCTTTCAGGAGCCTTGTAGTTATCAGACTAGTTACTAGGTAGGAACAGGATTTTCCTCTTTCTAAATTGTGGCTATATAAATTAAAAACCTGTTGAATGATTAACAGGCCAGGCCCCCTCCCATCCTGTGTCCATGTTGATGCTACTTTCTGCTAGAAAGGAATTCCTATCTGCTGGCGTTCAGTCCCAGGTCATGGGACTGAATGAACAGACATGAGAGCAATTCATCACAAGAGGCTCAATCTCAATTTGGCAATGGATCTTGGCATTTGTATCATCTGAGTCACTGTGGCAGGCTAATGTTTCTTCTGGGTACCTCTGCTTGCCACCTGAAGCAAATTGTACATATGCTAAGAAGAATCAGGCTTGATAGATTTTGGGGCTGTGTGTGGCTGAAGGGATTAAAGATCTTTTCATGGACTGGGTAAATAAAGAGAGAGAAGAGTCAAAATTGGATTCTGAAGAATAACTTGAAGATTTTGCTTTCTATGGTATAATATTAAATAATCTAATTTAAAAGTTTGTCTTTACACACCCTTTGATTTTTTTACTTAATATAAAAATCTGAAAATGTAACAATGAATGTGCATGACAGTTCATTCTGATATTACAATTTATTTGGAAATAGTGTAACTAAATATCAGATACAATTCCCTTGAATAATTACACGTATTGAGTAAACCAATATTATGGATACCTTTTACCTTCATGTGCTTTAACATGTTAATGGCTCACTTGAAAGACTTGTTCAGGAAACTTTAATCTGTACTTAGAGCTACTTAGTGAGTTGATTATTGGCAACAACGGACTGCTTTATAAGCTACTACTATGTGAAATAGTACACAGCACTCTTCAGAACAAGGATTCTTGGCACACTACACACTTAAGCATTCATAGATACAAACCAACTTTTCAGTTCATGGCTTATGAACTTAGATGCCATTATGATTTCTCAATCATGTATAAAAAGCCAGCGTATCAAAATGTCTTATGAACAGTTGTTTAAAAATATTGCCTGCTTAATTTTTTATTTTGTTTTTTAAACACCTAAAAAAGGAGCAAAAATAGAAAAAGCACTGGACATGACATCACCTACAGTGAAAAAAATATTCATTTAAGAAATTAATTACAAAGAATTGCCAAAAATTTGCAAAAAATCCATTTGCTGGTGTTATGCAGGCCAATACTGTGTTGTAGTGTAGGACAAATGTTTATAGTTGTGTTAGACATCTGTGAAGACACAAGCTAAATAATAGACATTTAAGAAATCCTTCACTAAAGTGACATTGTCACTTTATAGTATGTGATTATAGTATGAAAATGTTTGCGTGATACAGAAAATATTTATAGTACAGTATACTGGTGTACAGAGCATGGTTTCTTTTTGCAAACTAGTGAAGGAAATACATGTATTTGTATGCACACAGCTGAATGTACTTCTGGGAAAAGGAAAGTCTGCACAGCAAACAGAGCAAATTTTAAATTCAAGTACTAGTGTTAAAACTAAGTTTGCGAGTCAGTGTGTGAACAGAATATAATTTCTCCACTCTCTACTGATAGAGGATTCTCACATGTTGATTGCTTTCAACGTAGCTTTTAGAAAACACTGTTAGTATCAGGAGCCACGTGTGAAAAGATGCAATTAATTGTGATCAATGTGAATGTGTCTCAGTATACAAAAGAAACATCACAAACGTCCCTCTGTATTAAAGGAGGAGTTTCAGATTATGGTTAATTTGTTACACCAACTAATACCGTTGATCAAATTTTGTTTATACAAATCAAAAAGAAGACAAACACATTAGAGTCTAGCTTTTTATACGAAGAATTTAATTATCTATACATGTGACTAATTGTAAAGGCTGTATTACAGTTGTTAAAGCTGCAGGTTTTATATATTTATATATTTTACATTCATATCAATGAAAATACTGAAGTGCAATTGAATAAGGAGCTTCGCTTGTTCTTTGCACCACATGAAGGATGGGGGAGAAGGAGGAAGGAACTCGACAATATCGCCAGCATGAAATTTAGAAATCCACGAACAGAATGTGACTAAATATTAAAGTCATTAGTAGAACTGCTATATTGTGCTTGAGGCATGGTTTTCCCCACCCCCGGTGCAAAAACACCAGGCATTTCGTTAAGAGCTTATAACAAATGTTTGAAAGACAAACATGGCTTAGGCTACACACATCTACTACATAAACTTGACTGTAAGCTCCATTTAATATTAATTTGTATAAATTCCACAGTCTAGTTAAAAAAATGTAAACATTGGAAATTAATTGCAGGGAGATATTTCTATACATTCTTTCTTGTCAAGATAATTACTTGTTCAAAAGATGTTGTTCCATAGTCATGTAAAAGTAACAATGGTAATAGAACTTCATGTAACAGTTTGGAAAAAAAAGTCATGTTAATTCTCAAAGACCACATGAATATACTATTCTACTGATTTCTGATATTAAAATGCAAAAACCACACAAATCTGAGACAAACAAAACAAAGATGCTTTCTTACTGTAGCTACAAATAACTGTGCAAAATAAAATTAATGCAATAAGGATTACAGCATTATGCAAGGATAATATCTCTTGCATTGGAAGGAAATTAATTTCTTCTGTCCACCATGTATTACACACTCAACAAGGAACACCTGATACATACAGTATAAGAACTGTAACAAAGTATCTTATTTGCAATTGGGCATGTGTTCCTTAAACTCATTTAATTCCTTCTGTTCTTTTGTATAAGAAAAAAACAAACAAACAAGACATTGACAACACTGGACAAGTGAACAATAAAAAAAAAAAGATACATAAAGTCTCAGATTTATGGACATTTGGAACAATTTTAATAGCACATGCAGCATTCCTTGATAGTGGGTCTTTTTGCAAGAACAAAATTGCATTGCAGAAATTTTATTTATTTTTTTTCCTTTAAAAGGCTAAAATACACATTTAAAATTATTTGTAAAACTACTGAAAGCACCTGTGCAAAAGGTGAAAAAAATTAGTTTGGTAACTATGAAAGCCACAAAAGGACCCACTATCCTGTGTAATTTTTTTTTTTTTTTTGTAATTTTGCTTCTATGTCTGTAGATAATTAACTCAAACATTGCGATTACATGCAACTAATGTAAAATGAGGTAAACTGCTCTGCAGTGTGTTCTTCTATTCAGAAGGCAGTAGATGATCATGCTGGAAGTCACATGATCAAGGCTGCATCTCCCATCATCCCTCTGGGCAGTGATATGGGATAGTGGGTCTCTTTGAGGACTTTCAAGCCTGAGTGGGGGATGGACAACATATGATTCCTAGAAAAAGGAGGAAAACAACACATAAGCAAAACAAAACAATGAGCAAAATTCAAGCTAGGAAAATGAATCAGGCATGTAAACAGCATGGTGCAAAAATGATAAAAGGGATCATGCTACAAAGGGGATGGAACTAAAAAACCGTAACACAAAATAAGGTTTTTTACAGAAGGTCTTCAAAGAGACTTTGGCAAATGCAGCAGTGGTCAAGCTTTGAGTTCTGCAAGCCACAGCAGAATCACAGCAATGCTGCATGTTTCATTTTAAAATACTGCATAAACAGTAACAGTAAGATAGTAAATAGACCACTTACATTGCTGGCTTGGGTCCATATCTGTCGTTAGTTTCACATAGTTGGATGGGAAGAGACCCACTTGTCCATTCACTTCTCCTTTCCACCAGTCTGGGTCGTCCTTGTTCAGGACATTTATGATCTGGCCTTTGTTGAATGCCAGTTCATCATCATTCTGTGCAGTGTAGTCATACATGCCAATTACTTGGCACACTGTAAGATAAATGAACAGATCTATGGCACCAATAATGTTTCAGTAAAATATCATATGTAAAAGTGTATTTAAGTTACAATAATGATTACTGCCTGCAATATTCCCTTGTTAGAAAATACTCAGCAAATAAGAAGGATTTACATATCAAGATTGACTTTCTGAAAGTCAAAACTTGTTCAGGATAAGATATTAGTTTTCTACAGCCATTTAACTTTAGTTTTATAGTTGTCCTATCCACAAAAGTTACCGTGGTTTTATGTAGACACAAAACAACCCCACATGTTTTGGATCTTCTCTAGCATTACAACAACTACTCTCTCAAATAGGACTGGTCATCTAAAACTGTGGCATACATAACATTTCTGAACCCCCGCCGTTTACACATTTAGGGTAGGAACTCTTCCTTCACAGTATTGTAGCTTCTCTTGGGAAGAGAAGAAAGCCATCTAATAAACACAGTTACAGTCAGCATAAAGCTAGTAATGAGATCCCTCTTGTGCCACCTAGAGATGTTTAGAGTATCAGAAATTAGAGATTGGGTTAAGGGAATCAGAAAACTTGCTAGGTCATTCAACCTGACCCTCTTGCTAGAGCAGAATTACTGCATATAATATATTTTTCTATTTTCTTATCATGGAACTTTGTATATTTGAGTGGCTTCCAGGACACAAAGGGCTCTGCACAATCACAAATAGAGATGAAAATTAGAAAACTGGCCTAATCCCCTTAAGTCAGATAGCACTGTATTCTTTTTTAAATACCTGTAACCTCCAAATTATTTCCTTTGCCTTTCTGTTGTGAACTATGTTCCAAGGAATGGGGCTTCTGGTATTTCCCCCTCAAAAGATCATGTCACAGTCTAATAGATCTCAATGACAGAAAACAGCTCCATGATATTCAGCATTAATTTCCCCTTTCTTAATTTCCTCCCAGTACTCAGAGTAATAGCACTTATACAACTCTAAATAATTCACATTTACTTTTCCAGACAGACTTCCAGAGTCTGTTATGACTCCTTTTAGTTATTACTTTGCCTATCACACTTAGGAGGAGTCAGATGACTAATCCAAGCTAATTTCCATATTTGACTATATATCGTGTACAAATTTGCAAAGTTTCTTTTAAATGTATAACTTTTTAGCATTCTATTTAAGTTGAAAAAGGTAATTTGTAATCCACTATTATTTGTCCCAGTTAATGTATTAAGCCAAATAAAGTCTGAATTTGGTCCTACTCCAGTATATTTAAGTTTGTTAGTGAAGATCTGAATATACACTAGCTCAGCGTTATGAGTATCGGAGTTACCAACTGTCCAATTAGCCACACAACTCATCTGGAACTGGAAGTATGCAATCAGGCAGAAGCAGAGACAAAGAAAAGCCAATACAGTACGGTACCATGTTGAAATGTAAACTTCTAAACTCTGAGGTTCTACTGTATCCCCATCTCACAATAAAAACCCTAGGAATTATCCCAATTTGCTTGCATTCCGATCATTGCCAGCAGCTCCAAAACCCACAGATAACTATAAAAGTAGACTAAAAATAAGAAAATAGAATTACATATGCATTAAAGACATCCATTGGGCCCAGTGGTTATCTGTAATAAAACATCAGATTCAGGTTTGTGTCTGGCTCTCTACAGAGCACAAGCTACAAATACTGTGGAAGCAGCACACTTAATTCATTAAAATAAGTAGAAATGCTTGGAAAGAGGTTTCCAAGTATTTCTATAAATTAACATCCCTACCTATGGCAATACAGAAGTGGCACTCGCAGGCTTTGTACTCAGTTCTGCTCATTTTTCAAACTAGGAGGATGGTGCTCACACCATAGGTTTAGAAGGGGTCAGATATAAAGGAGTGGGAAACAAAGAAACTCTTAAGGTCCCATTAGTCAAAAAGTGTTCATGCAACAGAATTTTAAAAGTGGTCCAAAGTCGTATAATTAATGTTATGTTAGGATGAATGCACCTACACAAACCCAACAAGTAGTATTGTGACAGCAGAAGCAGAAAGAGGAAAAACATAGTTACACATTAAACTGTTGTAGGTACCAGCTTCTGACAGTACATTTCCTTCACACTTCAGGCATCATGTGCTATTACAAACTTTATAGACCCCCCTCTCCATGTACTACCCTGGTCATGCCTCTCCTTTTATGAAGATTTTTCTCAATATGCAGTTCTACTCCTTACAGCCACAATCACAGCATGATTTATTCTCATTTGCATAAACCCCTTCAATATTCTGTTCCACCAGCCCTTGCCTCCAGGCTTCCTCATAAAGACACCTCCAACATGCTGCCCTTAGACCAGAGTTTCTTAAACTTTTTAAGACTGAGGAACATCAAACAATTTTTTTTTTTTTTGAGGAACACCAAGGATTTTTTTGTTGAGCAAAAAAAAAAAAAAAAAAAGTCGGGAGAAAAAAAGTTGGGGGAAAGTTAGAGTAAAAAAAGTAAAAAGTTGCCTGCCCCTTTAAGGGCAGCCATTTTGAATTATCTTGTTCTCCATGACACACCTCCTACTGCCTCGCGGCACATCAGTGTACCGCGGAACACAGTTTTAGAAACACTGCCTTAGACTGACCACATGTCAAATGAGGAAAAGGAAAGACCAGACTGTTCTTTTTCTTCCAAACACTCTCCAAAATCATTATAGAGTGGTATTTGAAAGGATCATGTTTGATTGTGTCCAATATTCCTGACATGAATAGCATAAGAAACTACTAGAAATGTTTATATATTTGTATATAAAACATTTATATGTGCTTGTGAAAGGTTCTGCTTGTCAGCCCTATAATTCAGGAAATACAAGTGCATCTACAGTGCCTTGCTATAGTGTACTCCAAGCCTGAACTGGTGGGACCTACCTCACTAATGGTGAGGGGCTAGATAAGTCTTCATCCCAGGTGACTTTTTTGTTTCCCTGATAAGGCTACCAATAAGAGGGCCATTTAGTAGTGCCTCCTGGGATTCAAACTTTTTGATGTGGCCACATGCTTTCACCAAGAACTGAAATGAGACTTATTTTATACATTTCAAAGAGATAACCGAACGTACTAGATGAAAGCTTTCAGTCGCTGCAGTATGTCGTAATTTCATTACGTATTTAGCTCTCTAGAATTTAAATATTTCTTACTATTTTTTCTAAATATTTGGTGACAGAAAATCAAGACAGAAGGCATGCTTGGTGTGTCGGTGCAATATTTTATAGAAACAGGTTGGACCTCTCTGGTCTGGAACTCTTGGTATGTGAGTCGTCCCAGCCCAGGAAGTTTGCTGGACTGGGGAGGTCAGTGGTCCCCTAGGGGCTGGCTGCTCCATTGCTAGCTTGTCTCTCTGGGGTTCCCAAGGCTGGGGCTCTCCACCCTGATGCTGCCCTGGCCCGGCTGAGGCTCCATGCCCTGACACACGCTCAATGCACCAGGGGGTCCCAGGAGTTCCTAGCCAGGGCTGCCCGGCCACCACCAGCCCCGCTGCCTCTGGGGATTCCCGGCTGGGGCTGCCAGCTTCCTGCCACTCAGCTGCCACCAACCCTGCTACCTCTGGGCCTTCCTCCGGGTTTCTCCAGCCCCAGGCCACCTGGGCCCACTGCCTCAGAGTTTCCTAAAGTTCTCCAGTTGGAGCTCCCTAGGCTCTGCTGCTGGGAGTTCCTGGTCAGGGCTGCCCAGCCATTCCAGCCCTGCCACAGGGAAGGTCCCTGGGGTTCTCCAGCCACCACCAACCCCGCTGCTACAGACTCTCCACCTAAGTGACATCACTGACAAAGGGGGTTCCCTGTCCAGGGAAGAGGCTCCCCGATGCCTCCTGGCCCCACTAATGCTGGGGTTCCCCTGCCCAGCCATTGCTGGCCTAACTGGGATTCTGCAGACCCTAAATTCTCAAGGCTGGCTCCCACTCCTGGGACTTCTTTGGTCCAGCAACATCCATGGCCTTGCTGGACCACAGAGTCCAGGATTTGGGAGGTTCAACTTGTAGTAAATTAGAAACAGACTCCTTTTGGCTCAATGGAGTGATAATGGTTAGAGAATAACTCAGGGAAGTAATAATCAGGCTTTTAACAGTGTAAGTCCACGCTAGATTAATAATAATGAAAGACATTACCATCTGGATATCATTCAGTGGCTTATGGAGAGCAAATTGATTGTCTCACTTCAGATCCTAATGGGTGAGTGTCCTTTATACAGGAGTGCCACTCAAAATGGCACACTCAGCAGGGATATTAAGGATATAAGAATGACCTTTCTTCTCATCAGTCAACATGCTCCTTCCACAAATGGCATTTGTTGGTAGCATGGTTTGTTACTACAAGTGCTGGATCTTTAGTGGAAAACATATTTCAATCTCCAGGGCTACCAGTATCATTTCATTAGCATTAAATCAAGTAAATATGTATGACATATATATCATCCCATGTTAACCTAACTGGCTGTCTTTTTCCCCCTAAAGTCATGTCATCAAAGTTAGACTTGAAAACATACTTAGACTTAAAAAAAAAAAAAAAAAAAAAATTTATTCACAGAAATTCATAAGGAAAGTGAAACATTTTATAAAGGAACTCTGAAACCCAATAGTACAATGTAATTTAATTCCCTAGGAATGTCCAATTCTATACCACAAGTGACACCAGTTATTAAAATGTATTAAATATTACTTACCGGAAGGTAATACTGTTGATTTAGGTGGCTCAGTTGGTGTAGTTTTACTGGTACCAGGACTTAAAAGTTTTACATAGTTAGCAGGGAACCATCCTATCTGTCGTTTTTTCCCTCGTGCCTAGTAAGAAAAGAATTCTTTTAAGAGGATTAAGCACATGAACAGACACCAAATCAAGCCAGCATAATTCAGTCTACATTTTCCTTCTCTTGGTATTCACATCTCCCCATCAACTGGTGGGAGTGACCCAAATCTTCCCTGACTGAATTGGCCTCGTTAACGCTGGTCCTACACTTGATAAGCCGGTATATCTGTTTCTCTTTAAGGTGCCACAGGACTCATTTTTGCTATCCACATTTGAATTTTTATTTAAAGTTTCACTGACCATTTTAAAAGTAGGCTAAATGCTAAAGTTTGTTGTTGTTTTTAGGAGCACTGAAACATTCTGATACTCGTCATTTAAGTCATTTTCTCCTTGGCAAACCTGATTTCTCCCACACTATTTCTAAAAAATCTAATATTAGGCTATTGGATAACAGAAATGAAGGGTTGGAAGGGACATCAAGGAGTCATCAAGTTCAGCTCCCTCACTAAAGCAAGACCAAGTAACTAGGCCATCCCTGACAGCTCAGCTCAGTCCAACCAGTGAAGGGGATTCCAAAATCTCCCTTGGAAGCCTATTAAAGAGCTTAACTATCCTTGTAATGACAAAGATTTTGCTAGTATCTAACCTAAAACTCACTTGCTGCAGATTAACTCCATTATTTTTCTCCTACCTTCAGTGGCCATGGAGAACACCAAATTATAGCCATAGTATTATAAACTTACAATAGATACAGTTACCAATTGCTACAAAAATAATGACAAACTCTGTGGCATAGGAAAATGGTGTTCCAAGTTTTTGTTCAGATATACTTGACTTTCCAGCTATAATTAACAACAAATTTAGGAAGGGATCTTAAGGTTCATGCTTTAGGGCTTCAATCAATTTAACCTAAGGAAATCAGGATGAGAAAATGCAGAGGACTGATTTGCCTACTTCAGAGTTCTCACATCTTCCTCTGAGTTCTTTGGTACTGACTATTATTGGAGATAGGACACTGTACTAGATAAAATTTGAATTTTATCCAGTCTGGCAACGCCCATGTTCCTGTCTGCAAATCTGGGCCAGATTTTTCTCAGGAATAGGCTCAGATTATTTGTCAATTAACTTCTTTCCAGGTAAGAACCAGAAAAAAAAGCCTGGAAAATGGTTTTTAAATTTTCTGACCAACAACTGTAAAATTGGTAGCTTCTAATTTTAGTGCCAATTCTTTATTTTTAATACTGATATGTGTTTTTGGTTATTTATTCTTTCTGTTTTGATGAAGATGTAAGAATTTTGAATATTATACTGAAGTTTGCCCTTTAAAGAATAACAAAAAAATCTTTGTTCTATTGAAAGCAGCAATCTATGCAGTATTACATTTTGGATTACTGATTTAACCTCATTTTTTCAGATCTGCATAGATTATTAACTGCCAAATAGTCCCGGGAGATGTCTTTACACCTATCAATATGTAATGCCTGATATTTATGCATCTGATGGGAAAAAAGTTTTACAGCATTTTATTTTATCTTTACTGACACTCTCTATTCTTGATTCCAGCTCTTTCAGACAAACACAGTGGAGGTTCTATTTATTTTTGAGAATACAATTATGAACAAACATTATTTCAAGTACAAAATCCAACTGTGTTGACTTGAAACACAGCCAGTTTTTTAATCGAGTTGAAAATAGTTTGATACTATACCATCTTTTGAATTCTCTTGCCATTCATGGTTTTACAGCCATAGTTTTGTTTAATATTTCTGTTTTCCCTAATGTTGCATGAAAAAGCCAAACAACCAGTACAGGAAACTGACTATAAAATGCTGTCAAAGGAGCAAACAAAACAAATTGCAAGAAAAAACAGATTTTCTCCTCTCCCCCAATTTCATTCAGTTAGGCTACATCTACACTGCACAGTTATTTTAGAATAAGCTATTTAGGAATAATTATTCTGAAATAGCACATCTACACTGTAGGGAAGCCTCAAAATTAATTCGAGGCACGCATCCCTAATGTAGATGTGCTATTTTGATTTAGAGGCCCAGGATGAATAACTTAGAATGGCCCTGGTGAGAGGCTATTTTGAAATAGCAGAAGTGGAACATCTACATATGCCTTATTGAGAAAAACTGATTCAGCTAGCTTACATAGTATAATGGATCACTTGAATTTTCTTTTAAATTAAAATCAAAAGCAATTTTTTATTTATTTAATTTTGGTCAACATTCCTTGAAGGAATAATAGATGTATTTGAAACAGCTCCTCTTTTTTCCTCAGTTACAGACAAGTAGGGGTGTGTGAGATATGTACACACACACACACACTTCTGACTGCTTCATTAATATATTGCTTTTCAATGGTTTAAACCTCACTCTTTAAAGTTTGTTTGCTAGAGAACATAAGAAATATATATTTATTTATTTTACTGCTGGCCACTAATTTACTTACTGAGCAGATCAGTGAAGAAAGGACACAGACAGTTAAGAAGTTAACAAATCTTCACTATGGGAATAAGATCAGTTTAAACTGTGGGCTTAGACCAAAAGAAACGGAGCAAGCCAGGTTGTTGAAACAGATGTGATTAGCCCAAAATCTGCCCTTTGTATCTTTGCATTACCCACAGTATCACAAAATGTCCTGCTATTACCTTAAACTATACAATTATCTGAAGAACTAATGTGAATGTGTATGTTTGAAATAATTTTGTGCATAATATTTTTCCTGAAGTATTGAAGTGTTCATTGTTTGAAATATAAAAGAAAATATGGATGTGTAATTCTGTAAAAGTTGTAGTAGTAACTAACTTGGAGCTCTCCCTCCCACCATCCACCTGGATTCTTCTTTCTGATAAGTATCAGTTGACCAGGAGCAAGGGTAAGTTGTTCAGGTCCTGTTGCTGTATAAGAGGCAATAACTTGGGCAATTTCTGTTAGATTAAAAAAAGAAAAAAAATTCCATTTACCATTAATTGAAAAAATAGAACAAGTACCCAAGTATAGCATGTGATATTTACTGTCCTCTGTATCATTAGTGCAGTATTTCCACTAAACACCTCTTGCCCATCAAATTTGTTTCATTTTCCACTTACCTGTGCCACAGATTACCGATGGCAGTTTACCAGGAATCAGAACCTTGCCCCAAAGAGTTTGTACGTAAGTTAAGAACAGAACAAAGTGTGACAACAATAATACTAGGTGGCCTGGAGCTAGTTAGAGTGAAGATTTTGCAGTCACTGGGGAAGTAGTGTATTTTTTTAAGACAGACTATAGTCTTCATAGCTACCACAAACAGTACATTTTGAGGTGAAATGTTTAAATACAGAAGCAGTTTTTTTATTTGTACTTATCATGCTTAATTTGGTTAACATTCCCTAGAGCAGGGCTACTCAACACACCGCCCCATGGACCTTCTGTTTGCGGCCTACAGTGCAGTTTGTGTTTACGTGGGGTTCAACACGCGGCTGACAGGTGAGCTCCACTGAACATGACCCCCACTGGGAACACACTCCACAACTGCGAGTCAATATAATGGTCTTCTGTTGATATGCATTTCAGTAGTTAAATTCCTGGACTGTCATTAAAAGTGCTGTCATATGGGTGGAAATCGGGTAAATATTGCATTTTATCAATATCAGCAGAACTGACTTAAATGGGGTCTGTGTGGTGCAGTCTTGCCTTAATCTTTATATTCATGCCTGTCAGTGTGAAAGAATCTATTTGCATATATTCTTGCATGTATATGCAGCTACACTTAAGTTGCAGCCCTCGGCATGTGTTGCGAGTATCACTGTGCCCCCGGGGTTCTAACGTTGAGTAGCCCTCCCCTACAGGAATGATAGATGCATCTGAAACAGCTCCTCTTTTTATGTGTTACAGACAAGTAGAGGTGTGAGTGGCACACGCACACACACACACACACACACACACACACACACACACACAAACAGCAGTCTGAAGTGGAGACAAGGGAGTCAAAAGGGGATAAAATCAAGGGAGTAGGTTGAACAACAGATGGCTGAGTGCAGGACAGACACCAGAATTGTAAGCCGGGTTTAAGGTTCAGCATATGCAGTGTGCAAGTGTAATTGCGACCAGGCAGATTTGAACCTGAGACCTCAGTATAGAAGCCTCTACAACTTGAGCTATAAAACAAACTGGAATTCAGTTTAGGCTATAGAGCTGCTTTGTTCTTACCACTCGTTGTAAGTGGTCTAAGTGCCACTACATGGGACAGTGAACCACACAATGTGTGTGGGTTACACAAGCAGGAGGCTGCAAACAGCACTCAAAGTTAGCTGGATGATGTCAGGGTGACAGGTAGAGAAGAGCTGCTGCTAGTTTTTATGTATTTTAGTGTACAAAAGTGAAATAGTAAAGCTGGCAAAAAAGCTGGATATGCTGCTATTAGAGGAATTCTGTAGGCCTCTTGATTTTTAGCTATTCTGGGCAAGAGAGCAGGAAGAGAGAACTAGATATGGGGTTTATCAAAATTAGTTTTTACCTATAAAGCTCAGAAATATGCATCTTTCACTGCAGCAAGTCACAATTATGATATTAATCCACTATAATATTCTATACAAGTATGCTGGAATGAACAAAAATTGGCTTTCATGTCATCTGTCTGTCAGAATATGAGAATACTCCTATTTTCTTACAAATCACCATTTAAATACAGATACTGAAAAATATATTTTAAGACTACAGGTTTCAGAATATCCCCTTTCCCACCAACATGGAGGATTATTACAAGTTAACTTAAGTTATGAAATACATGGAAGTAAGGATGCAAAATCCCTCTTAATTGGCTAACAAGTTAAACACACTTACCAGGTTAACCAATTAAACAGGGCCAATGGAAAGAGGGGGGAGAGTTCCAGCCTGGCTGGAACCCCGCAGGGCTACTCCCACTTGGCCAGAGCAGCCCCACCACTGCAGGCAAGGGCTGCACCAGCTGGGACATGAATCAGTAGGGTTATCACGTAGTCATAAAAAAAACCAGACACACTTCAAAGGGGAGGAGGGTGGAGAGGGACCAGCAGGGAGGGGAGCAGAGCTGGCCGGGA